CTAGTAGCCAGCACTGCAACATGCTGCTTGACCCACCAATCAACAATCTAAAACCTTCAAAATGGCCTTTAAAGATTGTGATTCGACAACAGCACTGTTAAAAAGTCCTGCTGTCATTATGTCATTGCCAGCAACGGTGTAATGTTCCCATTGAAATGCGGCTTTGAGGAAGCGCAAGTGGCTCAGCGGGAGCTTCAGATACACACTCACTCTCAGACATGAACACATTGCCAGTGTGTTCCCCCATTATGTCTCTGTTACTACCTCTGAGGGTGGATCAGGGGTGGAATGACTTCGCCCCACCATTCCTTCTACATGTGTTGCATGGGAGGCGTAAGAGGGGCATAAATATCCCACATTACCCTGGCAATCTGTAAGCGCCATGATGACACTCGCGAACATAGCTAGCATGCTGAGCTGTTCAACATACCAACACAAGAAAGCCAAGAAACATTTAACCAGAGGCCAGTTTCAGAAGGCAGGTTTAGTGCAAACACTGAGTCTGTTATGTCTGAAATGACGGAAGCTGGGTTTTCTGTTTCAGTAAGGGAGGTCACTCAAACCTGAGAAAAAGGGGTAACTCAAGCCTGTTTCAGAAAAGAAAGACCACTTTAGATCTGAATCAGTCGCTATGGTAACGGAGTCTGAACATAACCTTGTCAGGAGCAGGTTTTCTTAAATGAACCCCAAGATTCTCGCTGTCTCGTCCCTCTTGCAGAGCCAGAAACATGGTTTAATTTCCTCATCCCGTCATTCAGACTGTATCACGTGCGTGTTAGCGGAGATCCCCCCCCTTGTCTGAATAAAAATACAGGTTGTTTTAATATTCTCTGTGAGGCATACTATAGCTTTTAAAATTATTTTTTTGTTGAACATGCATGTTCTTTAGTTGAGGAGGTGAAAGGGCTGCATTATTTTGCAGGGAGTTACATTTACGTCAGGAGATGTTAATTTAATTAGGCCAAATTAATTAACTAAACAGGATATAAGTGAGAGGAAATGTATGCGTGTGAAACCAGCATCCTGTTAGGGATAAAGCTAGTGCACATTGAAATAGCCATTCAATGATATTCATTTATTCAATAGCTTATGTCAAATATGTTTAAAATAAGGTACCACCCATGGGCCTAATTTGTTTTTATGTTTCATTTTGAGCTGCTTCCAAGTCCCACTGGATTGCACCTAAATAAAAATAAACTTTCATTTCACCATTCCACCAGTTTTTATCTGCAATAATACAAGTCTGATTAAATATATTACATTCAAACTGATGCACTGACTCTAGCAGCAATTTTCTCCCGCACCACTTCTCTCTACTTTGCTGCATCAGTGTTACTTCATTCTCTTTTTCTAAAAACATTTTCATTTTCGCCGTATGTCTGCAATGAGAATGTCTATTTTAAAAAGGGGAAAAGTAGACCGTCTTACTTTCTTTGTCACCTGACGCCATGGTTAATCGTAGTATCAAGGCTCCATTAATGTTAGCTTTTTATAGTCATGGTGCATATGTTGAACACTAACATACTGAGAGTTGACTGAACAAACTCAAATCAGCTGTTCTGGAACCAGACACTCAGAGTTCCCCACCTGAGGGTAAATCACCTGAGAGCTTAGGGTTAGACTGAGAGTTTGTTGAACCTTCTTTCTGAAACAGGCCCTGGGGGAAACACACAAGCTCCCCACCCAGAATATATGGGCAGAGAGGGTCTCTATAGACACAGTCACCACCACACATTTATGGAGGCCCATAAGTGATGATTAAGCAGCATTATATTTATTTATATATATATATATATATATTTTTTTTTTTTTTTTTTTTTAAAGCAAAGAGACACGGACTCTGCCTTTAATGAAAACAAGCACAGGGCAACATTTCAAACATAGATTTTAAAAAGGTTTTTGATCTACACAAATTTGAGTGACAAGTGAAAAAACAACCAATAAGTGTCAAGAACTAGATTTTGGCCCAACTTGTGCCCATCATCTAATCAGCCCTGTCGTCATGGTCTAACCAAGTCTTCCTGCAGAGGTACAATCAATTCTCAAATTCCTTCCGTCAAAAGTCTGATAAAAGATGACAGGAATTAGGTGACGAGAGAGAGGTTGAATGGCATGCAACAAAAGGGATGTTGGTGTTCACTATAAACACCTTAATGGCTGCGTTATTCTTGAAGAGAAGAATTCATTCAAAATGTTTTCGGTCATATCAAAGCTAAAAGTATACAGGGTTACCCCCCCCCGTTAGAAAGAGCTAGGGCAAAAACTTCAAAGGCTACTGTTCAACCTCCACAAAGCTGGCAAATCACAGGATGGAGCGGCTGTAAATATCAGATTGTTGGTTTCTGGCAGCATTAGAAACTGTCAGGCAAAGCGCCTATCAAATCAGACGCAGAAAAGGGTCTAAAGAAAGAAGGTTGTTGAAGCTATTTGACCTTCTGGGGATAAGAATACAGATGCCTTGACCCAAAGGCCAAAATGTTTGCTTCATTAACCTTCTTATTGACCCCCCTTATCATATATTAAATTAAAGTTTGCTTCCCTAATATGTTTAACAGAAAAAGGGGGGGGGGGAATTAATATCTCACCGAAAACAGAAGTTGTCATGCCTATTGTCTCGCCCCACTTTAATCAAATCAATTAGATTTGTTGGATTACTGTGCTAGAGATTAGGAAACAGCAGCCTCTTGATGTGATTTATAATTCTATGAAATATGCAAGGTCATGTGAGGTAGAAGTCAAGCTTTAAACTGTATTTAAGAGCCTTACAACTTGGGCACAACACCCTTTCTTTGCCATCTGTTGACATGGTGAGCATGTTAAAGCACGTGTAGCACACTATATATATTTAAAGCACGCTATACAAACTCAACTATTATACGTTGATTTGGGTACAGCTCCATTTTTTAAAAAGCTGCATTTGACTAGTTTATTTGTTTCTGTGATATTTCAAATACGCTGCATGTGTATGCAATTCCCAGTCTGCAGGGGATATTTCTGCATATGACATACACCTGACCTCTCCTACAAACCAAACCACACGCAAACCATAAAATGATGGCTGCACTTTTAGTTCTCTTCCCTTGAGCATCACAAAATCAAGAAAGTCTTGAACCAGCTGATACCATGAATGCCTTACATGGTTGTTTGTACAACTTTAAAAACACAGACTTGGTTTATGAAGCCCCTGGGGAAACTAGATTATTTACATCTTGGTCTGACCCTGTCCCCTCTTCTACCAACTCCATCCTCCTTTTAACTATGTGACAATTTCCCTGACAGACCAGTCTCCCTCCCAGCTTACACTGTAAATGGCAGAGTGACCTTGACTCTACCCCAAGGGCAGCGGTCATGCTGTCTCTTCTGTTAAAGCCCAGTGGGCTCAGTGCTACACCTGTTACCCTCAGCTCTACGTTTTGACTCTGCTATCAAAGTCACACACCCCACCATAAAGATGTCTATTTTTAAATAATGCTCTAGTAGCAGGAGTTTTCTGTATTGACTTAAACAAACCAACAAGTTGTTCTCGTATGTGTTGTGGAAAATGTGTGCTATTGATAGATGGTCTGCACATTCTTCTCCAATCCTTTTACTCTCAGATCCCCTGCAGCTTCTCCAAGTAATAAGTGTCTGCAGCGGAGTCAAGAGACAAAATGGCCAGAAGCGTCACCCCATCTGTCATTTCCCCTCATTATTGAAGTCATGGGCTACATATATGCCAAAGATAGACAGTGCCATGGAGTGATTTTTGGGATGTTGATAGAAATCTTGACGTGTTAATGATACTGACTTAGTCTGCATTACTTGCTGATATTTGTGTTGTATGTCAAGAAAAGTAAATGATTCTACAATGTTTTTCTTACACTAATTATCCTTTATGAAGCGACTTAACTTCAACATCCTGTTAAGAAATTTGATTTAGAGATAGCAACACTTGCCCGAGTGGAAAGTCCTATTTCAGTCAAGGCAAAGGGGGCAGTGACAACACGGTATTACAAAGTGATTCCTGGAACATAGTGATACATTAGCTGCCACGTTGTGGAAAATGTACCCACAGATTTAAAAATCTACCCACAAACTTAACTATTTTTAAGTAATTTGGTGACACTTTTAACTCCCTTTCACACATCAACACTGAACCCAATTTACACAGAGAATTTCTAAGTCAGAAAATAAATGCCCAAATCAGTTGGACCATTCTGTCATTCTGTCACCTGCTTCATACAAATTTAGTCTAATGTTCAACTGAGACTATTTGACAATAGAGTAGGTAATCTTCTATAGTATTCACAGCAAGCAAGCGGGTATATTGATGCTGTTACACACCTGCATCATGCTCTTTTTCGATTGCCTGGTTTCTACTTTCTGCTCTTTCACTTATATGCTCTGGGTACCTCCAAATACATGTTGTGCTGAACTAATCTGAACCAATAATCTTGACAGACATATGTTTACCCCTGTACACTTAACACAAGCTCCCTCTTCCTCCTAAACCAAAGGAGCATTCCCATTGATCTCAAGGCGTGTACTATCAATGTGAAATTGAGACTCAACGTGGGGATCTGATTCTCCAGACGCTGTCCTGAGTTCATGTGGGGAAGCAGCTTCAGATTAAGACATTCTCAGGACTGGTCATTGAGCACCAGAGCCTTCCTGCTTCTCTTTCTTATAATCTCATCTAGGATTACCTGATTAACACCTTCTACTCAAGGTGGAAGCTGTTTCCCAGCCAGGACTGACAACTGGTGCACTCTTTATTATTCAAAGGTTGAGTAAAAATAGCTTTTTTGAATTAAGTAGTTTTGATTCTAAATGTTGAGGAAGGATAACCTTTAATGTTAAAGAAATCCAATAAAAAAAAAAAAAAAAAAATAAAAAAGGTCCAAACTTGTTGGCATGGGTTTGTGAGATAAGAAGTCAGATGTGTTCAATTAAAGCGCTACATCAACATAAAAATACACAGTGGCTAATACATTAATAGAAAAGGAGAAGCTGCCCATTACCTGTCATGCAGTCCAATGGGCATTGTCTCCCCTCTGTGTACAGGGTGCTCCATACCCTCGCCGAAACCACTCCTTGAAAAACAGAAACAAAAGTTCTGTAAACACTCACATTGTCTGTCATATCAGAAAGACAAAACATTCTGTTTGAGCAAAGCAGATGCAGTAACGCTGACGCATGAAGCTGTAATAAACTCACTCGCAAGTCAGAATAGTATCTCCACAAACAACATGTACTTTCATGTTTACAGTTTGCGCACAATGTTCAAGCAAACATTCTGGCCTAAAAGGGGGAAATATCAGACGGCTGTAATAGAGATAACCCTTCGAACAATATGTAATTCATGAACGTTTCTCAATCTGGCACTTAATCTCCAAAAGATACAGGACAGCAAACAAATTCACTATTGTACAAGGCCACAAGGGAAACTTCCATCCAGCTACTTACAGTTTGATTTCCAGTTCTAATTTGTTGTCGCATCTAGGATTGACACTTAAATTCAATTTCCAAATAAAAGTAATGATCGTTTATCCACTTCATAATAATCTTAAAACACATTTATAATGTATTCATCAGTCATTACAAGAACTTGTGTAAACTGTTGTTAATAAGTAAGGTCTTTCTACCTGCTCTTTTGTAATGTTAACAGACAAAGAGTAAGGTATTTTACCTGCTTTTTGTAAAGTGTCTCAAGATAACACTTGTTATGAGTTCACGCTATACAACTTAAAAAATGATTGATTGATTGTTTACATGTATTCTTACAGTAAGAGTTTGTTTTTTTTTGACAGAAATTGACTCCAGTTTTTCACTTTAGATTCTTCTAACATTCACAGCCTGTTGAACTTTATTGTTCAAGCATTTTTTATTTTTTTTTTAAATTGTGAAGTGATTATATTTGCATTCATGATCATTATTTTTAAAACGTGAACTATCCAGCAGAGGTTTGGTCACACTGAAATGAGACAGTTGCCTGATAAGTCTTAACTTGTTGCTTTACAGAGAAGTAGGCTAATTAATGCTAAAAATATCTGCCTTGTGTTACTTGACAGAACAAATGTCCCTTTTATTTTGAAACTCTGAGGAAATGTACATTTAAAAAAGGAGTATTACTAACTCTGTTTTTTTTTTTTAAGGAAAGGCAACTGCTCCATACTTCTATTTGGATACACAGTTACGATTCCTTTCACTTTAAGTGCTTTAACCCTGTTGTAATACCTTGTTAAAGTAATGAAAATGGATAGCGAAAAGACAAGTTTCCCCCTGGAGTCTGCAGGCTTCAACACGAAGTCACCAGGAAGGTTGACTAAGTCCTTTTAAAGTGTGATTCATGTGAGGAGAACCTGACTCCACGACGAGGTGGCCGACTTGTCTGCTAGCAAAAGACATTCAGCTATTACCGCGTTAAAAATGTTAGTACTCATTCAGCCGGACTCCACAATTGTCTTGCAACGCTGTCAGAAGCCGAGTTCTGCTGAATGTACTGGCCATGTTGCCTGAGCACAAGTTGGTGCATCTCCACTGGGAACAGGCTAAGGCTAACTAGCCAAGCTAACCCATTAACGTGTACACTAGGCTAGCTTGAAATAACGTTGTTACCTATCAGGACAGTTGACTGAATGGCTGTCAAATAAGTTACTGCTCACTATCTAGCTTCACTAACGACGGCAGTGAACACCGGAGACGAAGCACGAGTTACTTGGGTGACTTATTAGTTGGTCTTGTTGGTTGGTTGGTTTGCCACCAGCAACAAAATGTTTATGACTACCTGTCAACCTGATGTTTTTAAGTTAAACACCCTATATATGGTATTTAAATAACCGTACACATCTTAAATACGCTATGTAAACTTTTAAAAAGCAGATTTCATACCTTCAACAACGAGAAAAAACGTTAACTAGCGTCCTTGTTTTCCTTTCCAAGCCCCTCAAATCCACTTATGCCACTGGAGCCGCCCTTCGTGATTTTATCCAATCAGGTGGCCGCTTACTAACGGGGCTGGAGCATCCACACTTTTCATTGGTCGGAGAGTATGGCAATCTTTTCTCATTGGCTCAAAACTTCCGTTACTAAATAAAGTGGCTCTAAGAGGAGAGTCGTCTTTCTGTGAAGCATGACACAAATGAGTGTATTGATTTTTTATTATTTTTTTTTTTTTAGAAACAACAGTTTGTTAGTTTTATGAGAGATGTTGACTCTGTCCTCGAGTTAATCATCTGCGGTTGTGAGGAAAATTATGCTCCCTGTTGCAAGAACTGTATAAACTTTTCGGGAATTTAACTCAAAGAATTTACTGTTTAGGAAAAACACAACATGGTGATGATGACGCATGTGGCAATTTCGCATGGCAGACTTGTGAGATGTAGTGACAGAAGTTTAGACATCTCCATGTATGAATGTATCCCTGTTGAAGCAGAGCCTCTCTCTGGTCTACACTTTAATGATGACCTCAATTACTTACATAGCACCTTTCATTTAATGTTTGCACTGCCTGTTATTTAATGTCTGTTTTTGATAACTCTGCACTATCTGCTTTTTTTTGCTGTACATATATAAACAACACAACTTCAGAAGGTCAACACATTACAGATTTTCTCCCTCAACTGTTTATTATGGCAAGCCGTTCAGGAAATTAATATACTGAATGAAACTTTGAATATATGGAATAAAACTTCGAATATATGGAATGAAACTTTTAATATATTGAATGAAACTTTGAATATATGGAATGAAACTTTGAATATATGGAATGAAACTTTGAATATATGGAATGAAGTCTGAATATATTGAATGAAACTTTGAATATATTGAATGAAACTTTGAATATATTGAATGAAACTTTGAATATATGGAATGAAGTCTGAATATATTGAATGACACTTTGAATATATTGAATGAAACTTTGAATATATGGAATGAAGTCTGAATATATTGAATGAAACTTTGAATATATTGAATGAAACTTTGAATATATTGAATGAAACTTTGAATATATGGAATGAAGTCTGAATATATTGAATGACACTTTGAATATATTGAATGAAACTTTGAATATATGGAATGAAGTCTGAATATATTGAATGAAACTTATATTGAATGGAAGCTGATATCAAATCTCTCTCGCCACCAGTTTCATTGTTGCCATCAAAAAGACACCCTGCTGAATTTGCTTGTTTTACAAGATGACAACAGCTGAAATATACCAATACTTTGCAGAACTTCAAAACTTCTTTGAAACAGCTGGTCGTACTCAAAATGATATGAATAATTTAGAATGTAGATTGCGTCACCTTGAAGATCATAGTTCAATTATTGTAACATTTTTTACTGCTTATGAGTAGTAATGCTCAACAAAACATTGCTGAGCGCACCTTGTGCATCCTTCTTGAGGGAATTTTTGAGTCTCTTACGGAGATGTCAGCTGAAATAACACTACAAATAGAAGCTACAGCACGAGGTGAAGGGACACATTCTGCATCTCAGAGAGGAAGACCAAGGTAAGCGATAAAAGAAAAAGAAAACAAGTAGGCCTAAGGGATTGAAGGTTTATGTAGACCAAAAATACAAAATCTCAATTCAGTTATTGATACAGTCAAGAAGTTGCAAAATGCTTAGGAAATGTATTATACCATGTAGATGAAAGTAAGTGTTTTTTGTCCTGTTTTTATCGTTTAAGGTACGACATATCAGCCGTTCAGCTGACTGACATGAGGGATTTAGGATTTAGAGTTCAGCGATGGAGAGTGCGAGAGCGTTTGAGGACAGCTGATCCAGTGGGACAAGCTTTAAGAAGACGAAGGGCAATTCAAAGGAGGGTCTACAATGTCACAGTCCCAAATCAAGTTTGGTAGGTGTACTTTTCAAAACAGCAGTCACATTACAATCACTATTCCATAGCTTCTGATTCAATCATGACATAAGGACAGCTGTAAGGATTTAGACAGACCATAACCCTTTAAAATACACCCTTGGTAATTGTTTTTACAGGTTAAATTATTTATAATATATGTGAAGCAAACATGGACATTTGACAAGTTATGAAATTAAATATGAAAGAATCCTTATCAATGTTAAGATGAATTTATGCATTTTTTCATATTTCTTTAATTGCATCATTCTATAATGTTGCATCACATTGAAAGCTTCTATCAACAAAACCCTGAATATTACAATTAAATAATCAATTAAAAAGCAGGCCTCTTGATTGAAAAAGTAGGCCAACAAAGCTAAATTTTTCACGTACATCCTTTTTCCTCATATTATTATTATTATTACGTTAAAAAAATCATAATATTTGTCTTGTTTTTCCAGGCATATTGACACAAACCTCAAGCTAAATCCATGGGGATTTGTATATCATGGAGGAATTGATGGCTATAGTCGTTGTATTACCTACCTTAGATGTTGCACAGACAACAGAGCATCGACTGCCTTGCAACTCTTCCAGGGTGTGGTTGACCTATTTGGACTCCCACATCATGTCAGGAGTGATGCTGGTAGGGAGAATATTTACATTGCTAGGTTTATGATTGAGAATCGAGGGGCCAGCGGAGGAAGTTTTATGGTCGGGCGTATTGTTCATAATCAAAGAATTGAAAGGTTTTGGGGAGATCTCAACCGGGTAGTATCAGCATACCATAAAGACCTTTTCCTCTTTATGGAAAATGTTGCAATTTTGGATAGCACTGACCCAGTTCACATTTTGGCTCTTCACTATGTATTCCTACCAAGAATAAATAGATCTGTGGATGAATTTGTTATCCAGTGGAACCACCACAGCTTAAGGACAATGGAAAGTCACTCCCCACTACAACTATGGACAGTTGGGATGCTCTTGCTTCCTGAAGATCAGAGACTGCTCAATGATGTACATGCACAACAACAACAACCCTATGATCACAACCAGTGGAATGCGGAGTTGTTGCCAATTAATCCTTTGATTGATGATGGAAATCATGGGATAGAACTTTTCTTTACAGCATGTCACCTGCTTCAAATTAATAATTAGTCTCATGAGTAGACTAGATTAAGATATAGAGGAATTGATAGTTCGCTGTCATACTGTTGTGAAAATGACAGAATCCAGTGTCAGTCTGTAAAAGATTCAAGTTGAAGACTGTTCAATCTAACTTAGTTAACAAGACAATTCCCAAGGTCCTACAGAAGATGTTTGAAGACAGAACTTTGTTATCAGGAGAAATACTAGCTGTTATTACTGTACAATAATGTGCATTGTGTATTGTATTTCGTGTATTGTATTAATATGTAAAAAAACAGAGACTCTGGGGTCTCCATGCATAGCTCCAAATGGAGGGGGAGTGATATTTTGCATACAAACTGGACAACAGGCCCCCTAGTTGTTTCCATTCTCTGCATGTAAAAATATATCCTTTTTGATTCAAAAGAACGTCGCATTTTTTTTTTTTTTACTGTTTTTCAACTTTCATCTCGATACACATAACACATACAAAAATAGGAACATGGAACACTTGATTTTTTAGAAACCCATACCACTATCATCAAGAAACAATCATAGCAAACAGGTTGTGCAACAATTATTCACTGCAATGAGGTCCTCCATCAGTAGAAAACATACTGTGTTTTATTAGCCTGTTCATTGAGAGCCACAGTTATACATGTTGAGCGACATCGGGCACTGTTCTCCAAATCTTACTGTCATGTTTAAGTGACAAGTTTCCTACCTCTTTCCTGGTTCACAATAGGAAATAGTTTCCAGTTGGCAGCATAGGGCTTGATTATACTAACCTCACACTTGCACTGGAATCTAAAGAGCTTGTAATGGCTTCCTGGAGATCAGGATCATCAGAGAGGTATTCTTCATCAAACAGTCCAAGGTATGTACTAAAAAAATGACAACAAAATAATATACAGTAATGGACAGAGTTAATGTACAACAATATACAATATTGACACAGTTGTAATACCCCAACCTAAGAAATCCTTTGATGGTCTCAAAACTACAATTTTCATGAATACCCAGTGTATTATTTTACTGTGTAAAAATTAAGTACATAATAATTAAGTACATACGACTCATCAAGTAAGACTATTGTAAAAAATAATCATCAAATAATTAAGGCCCACTGTTACATAGCCTTACCCATTAAAAGAAACATTAAAGGCAAACCTGTATGTGCTGGATGAGCTATGACCAGATGCACTTGGAGGGGTGGGACTGTGGGACACACTAGAGGTGTTTTTAGCAGAGAAATCTTCTGTGTTACCACTAACACTGAAAGAGTGGCCAAACGAGGAGCTTTGGGTGTTGTCACTGGAGACTGCTGATGTTCCACTTGGCACCATCACAGTCTCATCAATAGTGATAACAGCGGCACCATCCAACACTGCGAAGTTTTCAACAGAGATGGAAGGTGCAACACACCAAATGACCTCATCACCACCAGAAAAGGAAGATGTAATATTGGAGATGGACTGGGTCTCAACAGTGTCAGGTGTACTACCAATGAGAACATGGAAAAAACAGTAGATTCATCTTTAACGTTAGACTGACACTGAAATTATGAGTGAGCATCAGAAATTTTGGGCTTGTACAATGCTTGTATTATGTGATAGATTTGTTTTTTTTCCTGTACAAAATATGAAATATGTGTTGGATATTAAAGAGACTCAACTAAATTAGGTAATGCAAAATCTAAATACTAACTTAATTCTGAGTTTCTATGAATTTGCATATAGATGGGAATATTTACCATATTTATCAGTGTCCGATATGCAGCATCGCAACTTTTTGTGTGGCTACTCTCACCATCAGAACATACCTGTCAGTTGAAGCAGATAAATACAACAAATCTTATGGATTAATTGCACTGCACTCAAAGTAGAGAAATGTCAAATCAGAGCATACTACACAACATATTGTTTGAAGACATTGTTCAAATTGATTACTGCCATTGTTAATTCAATACATTTTATTAGAATTCTTCATCCATTGTCCTCTTTGTCTTCTCTTAAAGGGACTTTGTCAGGTCGGACATAAATGGACTTCTGATGAAACAGCTTTTTCACAAGATCACCACTCAAAGTTTGTGTTGGGCTAAGAGATGGCTCAAGTAGTTTGTTGTGGCACGGGAGCAAGATTTGTAGCCTGATGGAAAGAAAAGTATGCTGTATATGAAGCTTATGTTAAAGCTTAAAGACTACAATACAGTGAATGGAAATGTTTGCGTTTCATAGTTTTTATGCAAGCAGAAATATAGCTCCAGCTGTATATCTCTATACAACGATCACAATGATATTGTATTGGCAAAAGTCTGAACAATACCACAGTAAGACTAATAGAAATGAGCAGGAAAAAAATGGACATTAATATATAATTCATTCACAACACAAAAAGATGATCTTTCACAGTGCAGCCGGTTATTAGTTCAATAAACGTATATCTAATGAAACAGCTTTGACAAAATAGATCAAAAGCTAACCTGCATGGTTGGCTGAAAGGCTGTGCTTATTTTCTGCATAACTTTGTTAGAATCCCAGGTAGAGCCAAATTCTAATGCAGATTTAACATGCCCATTTTCAAAAAGCCAAGCTTTGCTTCACGCCTTGGCACATGTGGAGTTGTATGGTCCGGCAGGAGTATAACTTCTTTGGTAAAATGTTGAGACACAGGATGGGTACTCCTTAGTTGTGGCTGAAACCTGAGAAATATAAGAAAAAGTACAGCAACAATGGATTGATTAAGCATGTATGTATACTATATACTTGTCTTTTCTATTAAGAGACAACTATATAAAAATACAGACTGATAACACAGAAGACTTTGTACAAATACAAATGTACTTCAAAGTTGTTTTTGAAGCCTAAACAGCTAAAAATTCAATGCATTATGATAGCAGCATTTTGTTGCAAACATTTATTTTAAAATATCAATGACAGTACAAGTTAGGGAAGGCTGGTTTCACTCATTTAGGGTGGGATTTGTGTGAATGTTTGAAGTCTCGATTTATGGGCACTTTTACGCATGAAACTGGATGCGCGCTGGCACACATCACGTTACTTCATTTAGCAACAGATCGACCTATACCATAGACTGTAAACCTATATACACGTTTTCTGTTGACGGGACAGAGAGGACAATATGCGAAGATCAGGGACTCAGTTTAAGTGTTGATTGTTTGCGCATTAGTCCCGAAATCGCCTCGCCAAATGTGCCAGCCAAACACAAGTTCACTTCTTTTTTGATGATCTTCTTATTTTGTTATGACTCGATCGCAATAAATCAGAACTTTCACCACCGCAATTTAAATGCATTTAATATTTCTTACCTCTTCTGTCTTGAGTAGTTTCTAGTAAATGGGCGAAGATTGTAGAGAGGAGCTGGTCTTGGGGACTCCTGCGATGTTGCGGTAGATTGATAAGCCGCAACATGACCTGTGGGATTCACTCCACTGGGTCCACGATAATACAGAGAATGGACTTCTTCCTCAGTAGAGTGGTGTTGAACTCGGTTGCTTGTGTTATTTTGGCCAGCGCATGCATTTGCAAGGGTGTTAATAACCTCCTCATTAGTTAGTATTGCAGCTACTAGGTTTCGGGTTGACTCGCTCATAGTGGCTAAAGTTGGCGACAGTAAATTGATGACGTCATTTTTCATTCAATATATTCAAAGTTTCGTTCAATATATTCAGACTTCAATATATTCAAAGTTTCATTCCATATATTCAAAGTTTCATTCCATATATTCAAAGTTTCATTCCATATATTCAAAGTTTCATTCCATATATTCAAAGTTTCATTCCATATATTCAAAGTTTCATTCAATATATTCAAAGTTTCATTCCATATATTCAAAGTTTCATTCCATATATTCAGACTTCGTTCAATATATAAATTTCCTGAACGGCTTGCCATAGTTTATAGGTTCTTGCTTTAAATTACACATATATGTTTTTTATCCCTGCACGGAATATATACGTTTCTTGTATAAATCTATTTTTAATTGCACAGTTTAAGTTTGTTTCATCTAGGGGTATTCTTCAAATCTTTTTTTCGGGTTAATATATATGTATGGGAGGGGGGTGTTGGTTTTTGCGGTTTAATTTGTAACACATGTTTAGTGTAACGGAGTTAATGATTCCACTTGCCATCACTTGGCATAGAATGTCTTTATTTGACTATTTCTATTGTTTAAATACTGTTTATAATTAATTAAAATGAGTATCCACTGGGACTCTGTGTAACATGAGCGCCCTCTGCTGGTGGCCCTGCATCTTTGCCAGTCTATGCTGTCCCCGTAGTAAGTATATGTGTAAAATATGTTCGTTTTTCTTGATAAAAGTAATATTTTTCCATTTCACATGTTTGAGAGAAGCTCCGAAATTATTGTAAAACTTTCCTGTGATCATATTACTGTTTCTGAGTCATTTAGGCTCATCACGTTGTGTGTTTTGTGAGCTAAAATGTAACTTCTGATCTCCGTGGTGTAGATTGCTCAATTATTTGTTCTTATATTTTAGCAATGTTGGAGCTTATTACTACAAGAGTGGCTGTGAGAGACCGTATGTGCTTCTGTTGTCATCAGATTAAACGCTGGTGCCAAAAGTAAAAGTGTTTGCCTGATTCATCACACAACACAAGAGAGAGTACACAGCAGCCACATCAGTGAAGAGGTTAATTATCAGGTTGATAACCGGCTTCGTATGACTGTTAATCATGGTCTCTGATGTTAGGGTTAGTGAAGCTGGACCCAAAGATATCCTGCTTATGTTGAACTCGATCCTGGAGTCTTTTTCATTGGTTGTCATAGAAACCAGATCACACCAGTCATCCTTTGACTCAGATAAAATGAAGATACAATCAGATTTAATATGTTTATTGTCATGTTACCATGAAGTGACTTTATCAGGTGTCGACAACACATGAGATGAGCTTTAAACGCTGACATGTTCATATTGACAGTGCGCCCCCCCCCCACCCCTGTAGGTGCAGTTCATGCTGTCAGCCAGCAGGAGGCAGCAGCAGCACGCTGAGACTGAATAAGCAGAATCCTGACATTTTAACAAACATGTCTGTGGGCCATAACCACCCTTTAGTTTAGTTTCCCATCATGCAGCTGGTCTCTCCCTGGGGATTGTGGGTAGAACTGTTGCTGGAGGGGTTGACCAGCAGCTCGACGTGAGATCTGAGGACGCGTTCATGAAGGTTAAAGCGAGACGAGAGTATCAGTGAGCACGCTCAGAGTGGAGCAGGTCGAAGCTTTCATGTTTCCACAGAAATAAAAACATTTACATTTTTTAAATAACACATCCAGAAACAAAGATAGAAAAATAATAATCATTCAGATTGACACTAATCAAGGCAACTTTTACCCACAATGCATTGCACCAGGTTTGGCTTCTGTGGAACGTTTTAGTGTTAGTAGATGTTACTCCTCAGTCTGAAGGCTCTCTTGCTGCTTCTCCTCCTCTCCTGCTCCCTCCGCCTCCTCTCCTGCTCCCTCCGCCTCCTCTCCTGCTACCTCAGTCACTTCTCCTGCTCCCTCCGCCTCCTTTCCTGCTCCCTCCGCCTCCTTTCCTGCTCCCTCAGCCTCCTCTCCTGCTACCTCAGTCACTTCTCCTGCGCCCTCCGCCTCCTTTCCTGCTCCCTCAGCCTCCTCCCTGCTCCCTCCGCCTCCTCTCCTGCTCCCTCCGTCTCCTCCCCGGTGGAGGAGGAGGGGTTGTCTCCGTCGTAGATTATGTCTTCAGGGTTTGGTGCAGGAGGACAGAAATCCTCATCAGGAAGAATCTTCTGGAAGATGGACTCGGCCTGAACATGATAACATTAATAATGAATATAAAGAGGTGAAAACTCTTCAAACCTGACCATCACCGCGGTGACAAACACTCTGACTTCTCCATGATGTCATGCATGTATTATAGAATGGTTACAGCGTTGGAGGCGGAGCCCCATTCATTCCTATGAAAGCTGCTCAGCGGGCACATGAAGCACTTTGAGTCTCAGTCCCGTGGCGCCGATCTGCGTTCATCAAGTTGACAAAAATATCTCTGAATTCAGCTTTAACTGTATTTAATAACTTTTAGGACCTAATGATTTTAAAAGAATTATTTAAGTGTTCGTATCAGGAAGTTGATGTACCTAAAAACATTTATCAGCAGATTTATAGATGTCTCTTTCCCAATGTGTGTGTGTGTATGTTTAAGTTTTACCTGTTTGATGGCGTGATCGTGTCCCAGAGCGGCGTCAGGTCCAGAGCACACGTACACATTAGAAGGCAGGTCGTAACCTTCGACCTCCAGCCCCGACCCGTCAGTCACATTGAAGTAGAGACACCAGAGGACAGACGGACAGTTCTCTACAGACACACAGATAAGGGTTATTTACCTGCCGGCTTCAATGAGTTACAAGTTAAACTCACTTTCAAATCAAATTAAAATCAGGACCATTCAGCAGATATCTGAGGTAACAGACAAACAAAAACAACTCTTTTTAAACTCTTTTCATTCTAGAAAAACATTCACAGAAAATCGAAAAACTTGATTTAATCTCTGTACGTTGATAATGTGAGGTGGTCGATTTGTTTGGGGGGGGGGGGGGTCTCAGAAATATACACCAGACGTCCTGCCGATTTATGTTCGTTAGGAGACACTGCTCCCCCTCTCCAAGATGGCCGCCATGCAGACGCGTCTCACAAGCCAGGAGGTTGCCTCTTTATGTGTATACCTAAAGGGAAAGTCTAATGTAGTACGGCGGAGTCTTAAATGTCAGGCTCAGTGAGATCAAACTCTCTGGAGACACAAAATGTCAGATTAACATACAGAAACTCTGGAGGGTCCACACACACAAACAGGTTTATGTGAACTGTGGGGACCTGTGTGAATATGTCGCTCTACGGGGAACTTCCGATGACATCGCTTTATGTCAGATATCTGTCGTACTTAAACAAATCAAACATTTAAACAGAAATGAACAAGAATCAAAGACTGTGGAGTCGAGAGTTAATTCAACTTGTCAACGATATTCTTGACCTCCTTCTTCATTTGTTTATAATGAAAAACTCTTCAACCAGACCCATCCCTGTCAGAGATCACAGTTCTGTTCATCACGGAGGTCGCAGTGGGCGGAGTCATTGAACTGGACTTAGAGCAGTTCTTGTTTTCTGACCTCCCTGAGTTTTTAATGGATTAAATATATTAACAGTCTGTGTTGCTGTTTTCACATCTGCACTCCTGAAAATATCTCCATCATTTCAGGAGGACTGCAACACATATTCTCCTGACCTGGTTGTTCACACGTGCACCTCACAGCGGGAGACCATCTCTGTCAGACGGGAGTGGGCGGGGGGTAGGCTTGGGCGTTATCACGGTATTAAAGTGTACCGTGGTATTTAGAAATCCTGACGGTGTGACTTTTAATACTGGCGAAAACACAAACGCTACTTTTTCTGTTAAACTGACTCGAATATAATGTATTGAGGTGAGGGGTTGTAGTGCACAGCACGCGCCAGCAGGGGTCAGATCCTATGTAGACTCCCGTTACCGAGGCCACTATGACTGCACTGGGGACAAAAAGGGAGGTCGAGACAGAGCTGATAGCTCTGGGAAGGTAAACGTGCTAAGCTAACATCAGAGTGGAGGAGGGAGACTTTTCTTCCTCACGGGGTCGTAGTCGTGCATTTACAGAAAACGGGGGTGTATTGTTCCTTAAATAAACCGTGTTGAGCGCTCTTCTTTTGACTGAAAGAGTCATATATTAAAGTTAAAGAGTGACCAGCGGAGTCGGGCAGAGAGCTCTAGCTGGTCTTTCCCCGCAGGCTGAGAGCTCGACTACCGTCCTGTAGCGAGTAGGAGAGCAAACTCCACAAAGAGAAAACAGACGGAACTAAACGAGCGAGACAGCTGCACAGAAATGGTGTTGACGTTACTGAGCACCGTCATATACCGTACAGCAAAACAAAATGGCAAGACGATATGCAAGTATGAAGAAATGGATACAGGCCAAGCCTAGCGGGGGGTCGCCTGAGGTAAGACGTGACGTAAAAGAACGACTTTAAGGGTTGTGCGCAGTAACAGAGTCCTCTATACAACGCTATAATGAGAATATGTGTCTTTCTATGCTACGTGTAGTTGAACAGAATCCCAATCTGAACTAAAGAGTGGAGAAGAACATACTGGAGAACAGGAAACATAATGCAGCAGGTTCATCAGAGCACAGAGATGGTAGAGGTGGCGTGCAGACAGTCTATGGTCGTGCAGCGATCACAGGGAATAAACATCACCACCCCCTCCCACTCGCTCCAGGTGAATTCTCCTGATTATATCCTGCTGCGTTCTCACATCAGCTCACTCTGACTTTCTGCAGAATAAATACGAGGAGGCTGGAGGAGAAACTTGATACCACACTTACGTTCTGATAAGATCAGATGTTTCACGTTACATAGTCCAAACGATGGACAGATTAATCTAAAAACAATCTGCAGGTTGATAATGAATCAATAAGAATAATTTTATGCGACAACATCCATCAGAAGGACGATGTTTAATACGGAGGATAAAGACGCTGAACCTGCAGTTTGACTTCAAGAGAAACATGACTGAGAAGCTTTTCTCCTCCTCCTTCATCACCTCTGATGAATCTCTTTATACCTGCATCATCCATCCTGCAGGTGTGTGTGTGTGTGCAGATTTTTCATGTTATAATTAAAAGCAGTGAAGAAAGTGATGAATGAATTAAAGACAAAGAGGAGGAGGTCAGAGAGGAGAGAAAGTTTACAGGATACAGAGATCAGTGTGTGTGTGTGTGTGTGTCGTACCCTTTGATACCACACGATTTAAAAAAACCTACACCTGTTAAATAAGACAGGCGAGGAACGCGTCCAGAGTTTCACACAAACTCCTGCAGAGTCTAAACGTTCCCTTACGTTGTGTTTGTCTACAACTTTCTGTGATTAAAATTAAAAAAAATGACCTGATACTGGGTTAATTGTTGCCATGGTAACAAACAGGTGATGGTTTGAACTTTAATAGAATTGTCATGACGAACGTGGGGTGTCGTACCTTGCTCAGGAGACTCTGCAGTTCGGAACATTTTGGTAACCACTGGCGACAGGTCCTCGTAGGCGGAGCCGACTGACTGACAGGTGAGGTGGACCAAGTCTGCAAAAAAAAAAAAAGTGTCAACCACCTTCAACAACCTCACCTGAGGTCACTGGTCTCCATTCTGTGTGTGTGTCTCTGTGTGTGTTACTGTGTGTGTGTCTATCTGTGTGTGTGTGAGTGAGTGTGTGTGTCTCTGTGTGTGTTGGTGTGTGAGAGTCTGTGTGTGTGTGTGTGTGTGTGTGTGTGTGTGTGTGTGTGTGTGTGTGTGTGTGTGTGAGTGAGTGAGTGAGTGTGTGTCTCTGTGTGTGTGTGTGTGAGTGAGTGTGTGTGTCTCTGTGTGTGTTGGTGTGTGAGAGTCTGTGTGTGTGTGTGTGTGTGTGTGTGTGTGTGTGTGTGTGTGTGTGTGTCTGTCTGTGTGTGTCTCTGTGTGTGTGTGTGTGTGTGTGTGTGTGTGTGTGTGTGTCTTGAGATAAATGGTGTTTAGTTTTAAAGGCGTTCAGGTCCACTGACTCAGTAACCAATCACAGAGAAGCATCAGAACACTGCAGAAGATGAAGATGAAGATTTGACAGGTGTGTGTGTGTATCTGTGTCATAAATCAGTGTTTCTCTTTTCAAGGACGATGCAGGTTTTTCTCTCCAATGTGTGACATGCGGTGTGAAAGCTCTTTGAGGAGTCAGAAGACTAGAAAAGAAATAAACATTTACCATTTACAAGATGAGATGACATGAAAAGAGATCAAAGATGTGATGAAGACGGGCATTAGACGAGACGAGAGCAGAAAAAATTACAATTTGAAAACTTGGAGACAAGACAACGATCACCGAGCGGTTATGTCATGCAGTAGAAGATATGAGAGTCTCACATGTTCCTGGCATGCAGGTCATCGTAGACGAGCAGAGCTCCACCATCCTCACCGCTGGACACCCTGCTGCTATTGGAGGAACCGTTACCATGGAGACCTGATCATACAGACAGGTAAAAATTGGACGTGAATTTAAGAAGATGGAATAAAAAAATCCTTAGAGGGTTTCATCTTATTACTGAACACACACGCACACACAGCTTAATATCAATGAAGCATCATATTTCTCTGACCACTTTTAATTCAGTATTACAATGTTTAACCTTTACTAATCTGTGTGTGTGTGTGTGTGTGTGTGTGTGTGTGTGAGACACTCGTTAGGACACTCGTTACCTGTTGGTCTGAGTCACTGAGAAGGACGGAGCTGTCAGTTATCAACACAGCTCTGGAGATCAACCTGAACAGACAAACAGACAAACAGACAGACAGACAGACAGACAGGTCAGACAGACAGACAGGAATGTTCGAGTGGAGGCTTATATGATGTGGTTGATTTGTGGGTCGTGACCTGGTGGGTGTGGCCAGCTTCTTGCGGTCCGCCCCCACATAACCATCTTCCATCACAAAATGGCTGCAGCTGATTCGCTGTCCTTTGCTGTCAATCACAGCCTTACACCTGCAAAAAAGGGGGAGGAGATAAGAACCCATGATGTTATTGAAAGTGTAAAAAGTGAATTTATCTGCATGTTTTAAAACGACCAATCAGATCTTCTTAAAAGTCCTCCTGACCTGCAGCTTGATACACACACACAAACACACACACGCACACACACACACACACACACACACACACACACACAGAAGAGCTGCTGAAACCTATTATTGGGAATAATGATGCGCACCAAAGCTCATCTATAACCTCTGACACACACACATTCTGGAGACCATCAGCAAGAAGGTCACACACACACACACACACACACACACACACACACACACACACACATACACACACACACACACACACACACACACACACACACACACACACACACACACACACACACACACACACACACACACACACACACACACACACAGTCAGAGATTCTTGTGTGACTCTTTTTATCATTGTTGGCATTTACACCTTGAGATTTATTGACTGCAGCTCTCTGTGGCCGCGATCATTGTGTGTGTTTGCGAAAGTGTGTGACCCACATATGTGTAAAAATCACTGGGGGAGCAGGTATAAGGTATGTATAAATCAGCCCCTCCCCCATTGCAGACACAAACACCAAATGTTTGTGTGCATACACACCAAGCATCATGGGAAATGTGTTTCTCACACACACACACACACACACACACACACACACACACACACACACACACACACACACACACACACACACACACACACACACACACACACACACACACACACACACACACACACACACACACACACACACAGAGCTGTTTCCCCCCTCACAGTCTCAGCTGATCCTGTCTCACATCTGTAACACCTCTGATTACCTCTGAAGATGGTACAGAGGGGCGAAGTTACACCTCCACCACATTCAGACTGAAGGAGAAACGTCACAGGGGCGAAGATATCTAGCAAGAAACAGCGCTCCGAACAATTCTAATGTTTTTTTTATAAGCACACCTGTCTGATAAAGACATGCTAACAGGCTAATGTCACCATGACAACATCATGTGACAGATGATGACCTCCCACAGGGGTGTGTGTGTGTCAGCAGCCCATCAGTCATTTAATCAGAAAGTTGATGAGGCAGCAAATAAAGACAGAAAGAGAGAGAGAGGGCGAGAGAGAGAGAGTAAGGGGAGGGGGGTTGGGAGTAAGGGTAGGGGGGACAGTGAGATGTTAAAAGGAGGAGAAATGAGGGAGTGGATCTGAGGAGGTGATGAAGAGGATCAGAGGTTAAATTATGAAGTTCATTTCCTCTCCATAAATTGAATATTTCACTGATCATAAATTATCATCCAATCACTGAAAGGTCACACACACACACAGCCCCCCCCCCACACACACGCTCACACACTGCCCCTCATCGTGAGTACTTTGGTACTACAGTGTAAATCAGAGTTTTACCTCAATGTACAGGTGTAATCATGCGTACCTGTTGGAGTCCTTGTCGAGCAGCAGACAGGTGATCGAGTGTCTCAAACAGTAGATCCCTCCAAACACAGCACACATCCTGAAACAAACAAAGATCTGTTATCCAATCAGCTAATAATAATAATACATTTAATTTGTAACGCACTTTACATTTTTGCAAAAAAAATCTCAAAGTGCTACAGGAAAAAAACCAAAATAGAAATAAAAAGAAATTTAATCAACGAAGCAACTAACGAATCTAAAAGCACAAGCAGAAGATTTATTAAAAAGGTGGGTTTTTAGAGCCCTTTTAAAGTGTCAGCAGACTGTGGAGCCCTCAGCTGCTCGGGGAGAGCGTTCCACAGCCTGGGAGCAGAGGAGCAGAAGGCCCGGTCACCCATGGTGTGGAGCTGCCTGTCAGACCGTCAGCCAATCAGCAGGCAGAACATATGACAAACAGTCACAGCAGTGTGTACCCAAGTTTACCTGAATTATCAGAGAGGTCAAAGGTATCTTTATTGTCCCCACAGGGAATTTTTTTTGGAGCTGGAGACATACAAATACATAAACAACACTAATAAATCATCCAAACCTCAAGTGCATAAGTACATACAACATGAAACATGAAGCCCGGCAGAGATGCTCCAGCATCACACTAAAAATGATAAAGTGCAATGAGCAATGAATTAGAATTCAACTGCTATTCAACAGACAAATAGCAGCAGGTACAAATGAGACCCGATGCCTTTTAGTCTTCACCACCGTCTGCCTGAGGGGTGAGAGGGTGATCTGGGCTCTGCAGGAGAGAAGTCGCCTTTCTGACCACCTGCCAGTAGAGGTCGCTCAGCTGGACTTGACTCCTCCCTGCAATCTTGTCCCCACTTTAACCAGGCTACCTAGTCTGTTTTTATTGGCTAGAGCCAGATTACCATACCAGGCAATAATACAAAACATTAAAACTGATTCAATAGATATTTTATAAAAGAGGGTCATCATCTCAGAGGATACATTAAAAGAACACATTTGTCTTAGGAAATACAACCTCTGTTGGACCTTCTTTGTGGTAACAATAGCATGTTGCTCAAAGGACAGTTTGTTGTCCAGCACAGTGGCCAGATATTTGTAGCTGTTCACTATCTCTATACCAGCACCCTTTAATATGGTTGGCACAGGACTAGATTGAGTCTTCCTAAAATCAATAATCATGTCCTTTGTTTTCAGTAGGTTTAGCTGAAGGAAAGACTCATCACACTAGGATGTGAATTCATCAACCACAGGCCCATGGTGATGCTCCTCCCCTTCAAGAAGACTTACTGTGTCATCCGCAAATTTAACTACATGCCTCCTAATGTGATTGCTACAGCAGTCATTTGTGTACAAGATAAATAATAAAGGGGAGAGACAACATCCTTGAGGAGAACCAATGAAGGAGTACAGCTGATTGGAAAAAAAAATACCTGTTACTTACATATTTTATACAGATCAAAGTCAAGAAAGATTATCTATATTTTTACCTGACAAAGGTTCAAATTCTGTTCTGACTGACAGGTGTCTCAGCCAATCACAATCTGCTGGGTGTATCTCTTTCAACCCCCCCATCCCCCTCTAATAACTAACATAATCACATTACAGCTAACTTAGAACAACACACACACACACACACACACACACACTCACACATATCTGTCATCACATATTAATTAAAGAGTGTGTGTGTGTGTGTGTGTGTGTGTGTGTGTCAGAGCAGTAATATCCTCAAAGGATCGTCAAATATGTAAATGAGCTGAGCCCTGGGCGACACCCCCTAATTAATATTCAATGCTGCTCTAATTAGAGACACCAGCTGTTACCGTGACAACCAACCAAACAGCCTCCTGAAACTGAAAGTCGCACAGGTGTGAGACAGACAGACAGACAGACAGGCAGACTGACAGACAGACAGACAGACAGACGGACAGGCAGAACAGACAGACAGACAGACAGGCAGACAGACAGACAGACAGACAGACAGACAGACAGACAGACGGACAGGCACAGAAAGACAGACAGACAGACAGGCAGACAGACAGACAGACAGACAGACAGACAGACAGACAGACAGACAGACAGACAGACAGACAGACAGACAGACAGACAGACAGACAGACAGACAGACAGACAGACAGGCAGACAGACAAACAGACAGACAGACAGACAGACAGAAAACAGACAGACAGACAGGCAGACAAAGAGACAGACAGACAGACAGACGGACAGGCAGAAAGACAGACAGAGAGACAGGCAGACAGAGAGACAGACAGGCAGACAGACAAAGAGACAGGCAGGCAGGCAGACAGAAAGACAGGCAGACAGACAGACAGACAGACAGGTGTGCAGACAGGTTCTTACCTACAGAAACACTGGGGTATCTCTCCAAGGCCGTAAACAGGAAACAGGAAGGGAGTGTTGCCGTAGCGACCTAGGCAACGTAGGAAGTGACGTGTTGAGGCGAGTCCCTCTTCTGTGGGCGTGTCTTCTGTTACCATGGCAATTGAGTGAAGCAGGAAGTGCTGCAGGTTGTCACCGAGCTGCTGGTCACGCAGGAACTCCAAATATGGCCGACCTCTGTATGCTGAAAGAAGAGAGGATGAATCAATACATTACCTGCAATGCCCTACATAATAGGAACTTTTTATATAAATGTACAGGTGAGTCTGCTGGACAGGTGAGGTGTCTCACCCTGCTGCTCCTCTGTTTCTTCCACACAGGAAGTGAGGAAACGCATCAACTTCCTCTTTTCTACCACAGACAGCTGACGGTTCGCAAAAACATCAGCTCTGCTGCACGGCACCTGAGAGACACACAGGTGATGTACAGGTAACATACAGGTGAACACAGGTCATATCCAGGTAAACACACAGGTAAAGTGAGCGAGACTGAGAGGTAAACACATACACAAAGGCTGAGATAGAGACAGGTGTAGAAGGTGTATGGATTAGACTCACCTGTTCTACGCTGCCATTCCTGTAGGTCAGTATCCTGGTGACGTTCTTAAACTCTGCATAGCGACTGACGTTTGATTTGATGAGCAGATCGACCAATGAGCCGCGAGAATACATGAGCTGAAGAAGAAGAAGGTGTTTTTACGACTGATTGTGCAGCTCTTTGTTCAATAATATCTCCAACATTAGTTTTTATTTAAACTTATCGACGTTATCGAGGTCATCACAATGATTCTAGTTAAAAACGACGACAACAATAAAGGTTGTTTATTGTTTTTAACGATGAAACGTTACACACAAACTCCTGCACGCTGTTAAATTGCACAACAGCGTGGTTTTTGGGGGGTTTAGGGGGGTGGTTTTAAGTCACATGACACGGCGTTACCTTGGAGACCAGGTCGATGTTGAACCTGCGGCCTTCCTTCACCAGCTGAGCATAGCTGATCTTCTTCTTCGTTGGTACTGATTGGCTTTGAGCTGCTGAGGGGGCGGGTTGATCGGCCTCTGGCTCCTGCCCCTCTGTGTGTGAAGCCTGTTTGATTGGACAACACATCTGTCAGTAATCCAGCTGTGCTGCAGACGACCCATAATTCAAAGCGGTGATCTTATGATCCACATTTTGAGAGTTATGAAAAATGAAGATGATGTTCACATTGTTCATCCTGTTTCATGTTCAAGAAGAAGACCTAGATCTTTGTGCCTCACCTCTTCTTCTCTGTCTGCTGTTCCATCTGCTTCCTCCGTCATTTCTTCTTTTGGCTCTAAACATAAAGACAAATAGATTATCGTCCTGTCGACCCTGACTGACCTTTAGATCTGCTCACTGAAATATTTATCTGTTCATACCTAAATATTACAGGAGTGAAAACTAACGGTGACTCACTCAGAGCTCTGTCTAACCACGCCCACTCCTCTCGGGGCGCCCTCAAACAAACCTGCACATTCTGTCTCTGACGTTTCTTTGACAGCGACTTCATCTACTCCTCCTCGTTCTTCTTCTGTGGTGTTTAGACATTTCTCCTCCACCTCCTCCTCCTCCTCCTCCTCACTGAGAAAAACGTTCGTAAAAACATTCATAACTCTTTGATTCAGTCGTGTGTGGGCATTTAAATTCAATCATCAAACCAAATAACAACAAAAATAAGGAAAACACTGAAAGGCTTTTAATGTGAAAGAGCAGCAGCAGGAAATATGTCTATAACGTGAGGTTCAGGTATGTGTGAGGCTTACCTGGTGTAACAGAACACCTGCACGTTACTGATTGAGGAGGAGTCTGAGTTTGACAGGTGGATCAGCTCCTCCCCTTCCTCCACAAGACTCGACCAATCCTGAGGCTCCTCTGGCTGAGACTCCTCCTCCTACCACACACGCATACATTATTAGTTAACGTTTCTAATCCCTCATCTTTCCCATCATGCTCAGCAGGAGTGAAATCCTCCATGATTGTAGTTTACATTGCACAGGAACATGGAGGTGATGTGGTGAGTTCAGCAGCCAATCAGAGAGCAGCATTGGACTCACATGTTGCTTTTGTATCCAGGTGAGCAGGCCGTTGAAGGTGAAGCTGGCCCAGTTAGCTGCATAATAACTCCTCCTGAAGAAACAGTTTGATTAAATCGTACACAACACCTGCATTCTCTCTGACGGCCAGCAGGGGGCATAAATCTGTCTCATTCTTTATAAGTCAGCTGATTGATTCTCTCCGTAAACATTCTCCTAATGAGTTTATGTTCTCAGTCTGTAGTTTAAGTCTTCTTCAACACAGCATGATGTTGATTTAGTCAATGATGGACCAGTTGATGTCATTCAATGACTTCAGTCAGAAACACAATTATGTTAATGAAGTTTCATATCAGACTGATCATTAATGATCATGAAAATGTCACATTTCTTTCTTTATTTAGAACTTAATAAATAATTTCCAGTATTCCTAGGACATCATAAAATATCTTTGATTATGAAATACAGAGTTCATTATCAAATTATTACTCAAAAATAAATAAATAAACAATTCAATATTAAATATTTTTGTCAGTAAAAATTGTCCTTTTGGTTTTAAGCAGACTGCAGGTTGTTCTTCATGTACAGGTGTTTGTTATCAGGTAGCATAAAGAGACTAAACACTGCTACTGAGAGTATTTTATTAGAAATAATACAGTTCATATTTATGCGGACATAAACAGCTGTTTAAGTCGACTGACAGCTGAACGTGATCAGCTGATGTCATCATCACAAACGAACATCGCTTCACGTGACGCTACAGAGGAAAGGACGTCTCATGTCTCTTAAAACATATCTCCTCATTTCCTCTCTCCTCTGCTTCGTTTCCTTGCATCTCTCCATGCATCTCTGGTGGGAGGGACTAAGACGCAAGTGGAGGACACTTGGATGCAATTAAGGGAACTGGGATGTACCCACTGTGACTACAGAGGATTCCTTGTGTTAGCTGATAATTTAGCATAGGCTTAATCCCTCACTTTTCTTAAGCCCCTCCCTCTTATCCATATATGCTCTATAACCAATGACCTCATGGTGACCACACCGACTGTGATTCAGACTGACTTTTATGATACCGGTGAAAGATTGGAAATAGCTGACATGATATATTTATTTCATGATATATATTTTTAAAGCAGACAGCGCCCTCTGCTGTTTAAAAAAAAGAGTAGTTCATTATTTTGTCTCATGGATTTAAATCGTCCATATTTGTGTTGATTTGTAATTGTTATGTGAGGTATCTTAACGTGCCCACCAATAGAAACCACCAGAGAGTGTGTTCAGACTCACAGGGAGTTATTGATGATCAATAACAACAATAGTGATTGTTTAAATATTCATGATGATGTTGATAAGACGACTGACCTGTCCACATGAAGAACTCTCTGTCCCACTCTGGAGAAGGCCGCTGCTACCACCGACTCAGCAAGACCTGAACGATAACCAATCATAATCCATCATGTTCTCTCCGTCACTCTCAGCATGTCTGCATTCATCAACCATCAATAACTAAACGACTGTGAACATCTCCACACAGACTGATACAGAGGCTGCGTTATAAACACTGAAGATACTGTCCACGCTAAACGCATGCTTCAATTCTCACTTCCAAAATGCTGCAGGAGCAGACAGAGACACACACACATCTAATAATAACCAGTCTGATTATGTAATGTTTTCAAAACAGCCAAATATGATTGAGAGCTTGTTTTTGTAGATTAAAGCAGAGTCATTAAAGAGGTCATATTCTGCCCTTTTTGGGGTTCATATATTTAATCTATGTACCTACTAAAGTATGTTTACAATAGCTAAAGTTAGAAAAAAGTGTCTGTTTTCATGTCTGCCGCTCCATGCACCGGCTCGCTTCTGACTCTCTCTCTAAGGCTCTGAAGTGCCCACGTTCAGAGTCCCCACGTGTGCCAAGTCTGATCTGATTGGTCGGCCTGTCGTCTCGTGTGCACCGATGCTTTCGGATCACGTGCAACGCCTATTGTGTCCGGTCGTCATGGATGAAGCAACCTGTGAGTTCCGTGCAAGTGCCTACAAACACTGCTCAACTAAGACAGACATTTAATATCGTCATACAGACGTTAACAACTTCAAATGTGTTTTGCATTGAGGATCGAATATATGTTTATTTATTGTAAATTGTTTCATATTTACAGGGACTGTTGCAAAAACAAAAGAATATTAAATCATGTTGCAGACAACTTTTCGCTGTTAAAATGTATTTGTTATTTTTCTACTTTTGATGTCTTTGTGAAATCTCAATTCAACAACAAAAAATACACTTTTTGCTGCTCTGATGTTCAACAATATTATCCTTGTCTTTGCATTAATTTAGGACACCCTGATCTAACAATTACAATAAACAATGTAGGCTCAATTTAATAGTTTTGTTATAAGTCTACACAATATTTTTACAGAATGCATTAGCTACAAAATAAAAAAGCTGTTCCCGCAAGATACCGCTGAGTTACCATGGTAACACACAGCCTGCCACTGTATTTCTACCCTACATCTTGATGAAGGGGACTTCATTCAGCTAAGAGTGTGACTTCTAACGGAGTGCACTCCGTCACGGAGGGTGCAGGCTTGGTTTGGAAAAGGGCTGACGTCACACTGGGAATTTTTATCGAGGGGGGCGAGAACAGAGAGTTACATGCAGCTAATGCTGCAGCTAACAGGAGGAGGCAGGAGAAGAATCTTTGCACATAGATGTGCCTAAACATGCACAGGACACTTGGAAACACACTGAAGAGCAGATAAAACCAGAAAAAATTCTATAAATAATTTTAATTTAATATAACAATATAAATAAATCTGCCTGGCCGGTTAATATTTCTGAAGCCAACAGGGTCGATGAAGAATATTATCACGTGATGTTATTTAAATAATTAAAACTGACACAGAAGAAACACTTCTCTCCATTCACCCTGCATCACTACTGAACACAATCAGACTGCTAACTGTTAGCTGCTTACTGCTAGCGTCATCATAACATCAGCTGACAGCACCATTAGCCTGTTAGCACCATTATCCTGTTAGCACCATTAGCCTACCAGAAGCATCAGGCTCTAATCAGTTAGATAACATCATTCATTAAGCTAACGGTAGCTCCGCTGCTAACACGAACAAACATATAAATGTAATAAAGCGGTGATATCTGAGCATGTTGATCGTGGAGTTAGCAGACACATCTGGGGCGTTAGCATCTAGCCACAGTGGTTTAGAATGAACTGGTCGTTAGCCTCGAGCTAACGCCCAGGCTAACCTCAGTCCGTCCACAGTATGGACCGATTTAACCCGATATCCCGGAGCGAGCCGCTGTTACACCGAACAGAGACACGTTCACACACATGACCCGGATTGAAACAGGACATTAAAAACAGGTGTTTATGTACCTGTGCCCAGAATGACGACGTCAAATTCAGAAGGCAGGTCCTCGGCAGCCATGTTGTTAGCAGAGAGAAACACCGAGTCACGTGACGGGGGCAGCTCTTTGCTCCGCCCACAAACACCATAATCAACCAATCAGTAAACACTCATCAATTCATAACAATTCAATAAACTTCTTCTGAGTTTTAGGGCCACGTTCATGAAAACAAACAAAGATTAAAGTCTTAATTTATTAAAAATAAAGTTGTAATACAATCAGCCCGTTTCAGAGGCGCCATAATTACAGGGTCATTCCTAGAGGGTCGGTTGAGAGACTGAGAGGAAACAGTCTGCTCATCACACTGTGTGTGTGTGTGTGTGTGTTGTGTGTGTGTGTGTGTGTGTGTGTGTGTGTGTGTGTGTGTGTGTGTGTGATTATCAGTTGATTATTACTGTCTGCTCATTGAGTCAAGCTGGCGGAAGGTTTGGAAGAAAAAACGTCTTCTTCCGTGGTGCTTTATGGTTTTGCCAAGCCCACACACAC